ATAAAAGAGTATATTCAGTATATGTATAATTTAAAGGGTAGTTGAAAAACCACCCATGACCCCCTAACTCTGCTTCTGAATTAGAACATCACCAGATTATCTCAAGTCTCCTAACCTGACCCTTCCAGATTACCTCCCTCCCTTCTCTGTGCTATTCTGAATTTTAGGTTATTCATTCTCTTATTTTGCTTTTATAAATGTACTCCATGCATCAACAAGTCATGTATGCTTGGTTTTTTCCTACTTTTGACTTTCATACAAATGGGATCATACTCTGTTTGTGTATCTCACTTTCCTCCTCTACCAACACGATGTTTTTGAGGTTCTTCACATTGATCCAAACAGCCATAGGTCTTCATTTTTGCTTCTGTGTAATTAATTTTCTATCATATGAGCATGTCACATTTTATGTATCCATTCTCCTGTTGACACTGGGGTTGTTTCTAGGTTTTTGCTATTACAAAGTTACTATGGCTTCTTGAATACTTCTCATAGGGGTGTATGTAAAAGAGTCCCTAAGTGTAGGTACAAACCTAGGGGTAGAAACCAGGTACAAGCTTGTGCCATAGAGTTAGCACAAGTTCAGCTTTTCTAGGAAATTGTGGCTTGTTTGCTGATGGGGTTGCTCCATTCACACCAATAATTTATGAGGGTTCCCAGTGCTTCACAGCCTTTTTTCTTTCTTTTCCTTTTTAACTCTTAAAAATGGAAGCATAACACAAATTCAGAAAAGCCAACAAAACGTAGATGTCAAGCTCAATGAATTATTACAAAGCGAGTTATGTATGTAACCACCACCCAGGTCAAAGTGAGAATTTGTGACACCTCAGAAGCCCCTGTTATGCCCCTTCCCAATATTTATCTTCTCCCTTCCCCGCACCAAAGGTAATCACATCTCTGACTTTAAATACTTTAGTTTTAGTTTGCTCATTTAAAAAAGCCATATAAATGGAATTCATTCAATGTGTATTCATTTATATCTGGCCTGTTTTGTTCAGTTTTATTTTTGTAATAGTCACCCATCTTGTTGCATGTGGCTTGAATTCATTTATTTTCACAGCTGTATAGTGTTCCGTTGTATATCCATTCTACTGTTAGTAGAGATCTGTTTCCTATTCTTTTGCTGTAACAAATGGCACTACTGTGAAAATTCTATGTATTTCTTGATGCAGCAGGCACTCATCCCTGTTGCATGTATAACTATGAATGGAATTGCTGTGTTATAGGGTAAACATGTTTAACGTCAGTAGGTAACGTCAGTTTTCCAGATAGTTCTACTAAATTAGTCTTCTACCAACAGTATATGAGAGTTGCTTTTGCTGCACATGCTCATGAGTGCTTGGTATTTTTTTTTTTTAATTTTGGCTGTCAGATGGATGTGTAAGTGACTTCTTAGAGTTTTTCAGTTTCCTGATCTTAGAGAGGTTAAGCACATTGTCATGTGGTTGTTGGCTATTTGGATATCTTATTTTGTGAAGTGTCTATTCAAGTCTTTTGCCATGTTTCCTTCTGAGTTATCTTTAAAAATTATTTTATTGTTGTTTATTGGTTTATTGGAGGTTTTTTAAAAACTATTCTACATAGGAGTCCTTTTTTTTTTTTTTTTCTTCAGTACACGGGCCTCTCACTGCTGTGGCCTCTCCCGCTACGGAGCACAGGCTCCGGACGCGCAGGCTCAGCGGCCATGGCTCACGGGCTCAGCCGCTCCACGGCACGTGGGATCTTCCTGGACCGGGACACGAACCTGCGTCCCCTGCATCAGCAGGCGGACTCTCAACCACTGCGCCACCAGGGAAGCCCAGGAGTCCTTTTTTGATTGTACATGTTGCCAAAATCTTTTCCCAGACAGGGACTTATCTTTTCATGCCTGGATGATAGCTCCTGATGAGCAGAGGTCTCTGAGTTTAATGGTGTGTCCTCTGGAGCTGTGTAGCGCTGCACCCTGCTGCCATCTGGGGTTGAGTGTTTGCAATTAGATGCTCATCAGATTTACAAAGGACAGGGAAGTGGTCAGAAAGAGACCACCTAGGCAAGCAAAAAGTCCTGACTTTCCAATATGAACTTCCAAACTATAGCCTTTCAAAATTAACTTGTTCCCAGACTGAATGGAAAAGAAGGGTGTGCTGTAAAACCAAAGTCAAATTTCGAGAATAAACAGTCTGTAGCTGTTTCGACAAAGAGGTTGACGGTTTGCCACAAAGGGGACCGGCCAGCTCTCTAGAGGCAGAGTGAGGGCCTTTCATGTGAAGCGGCAGGATTATCCTGGAGCAGAGCTGGTGGCCTGTGGTGTGCGAGGTGCTGGGCTGCTTTAGCTCTAGTCCTGTTTTTTCTTTGGCCTCAATCTGGGTCATTAGGCTGAAGTTTTGCCTTGAGGGCCACCAGAGTGGGGTACTGCTTAGCAACATGCTGGACAGCTCAGCTTTGTGCTTTGTCCCCAGCCAGGGGGGTGAGGGAGTGTATGAACGAGTGAGTGAGAGAGAAAAGAGAGACTGTGTATGTGGGGGCAGGAAGCCCCCGATATTCAGATTCAATAATTATCTTTATTTGCTGGTGAAAGGTAAGCTTTTACTTCAGGAACTTATGAGAGAGCTATGAAGGGAGAAATACCTGTATGTATTGCAAAAACTTGCAGGAAGTCCCCTTTCCCTTCCCCATCAAAATACTTGGTGATTTTCTTGAATCTCTTGTTCCTTTATCAAAAAGAGAAACAATTATAATGACTACGGCTTCAAAAAAAAAAAAAAGAATCAAAGAAATGGTCAAAGAAAGATAGGATTTGTTAGATCGAAAGGGTCATAAAGTGCTGATCGGGGTGAATAAATAAGGAGGCTCCCTTTATGTATGTCCCAGTGAAACTTCAGAACATCAAAACTAAAGAGGAAATTCGGAAAGGCTTTAGAAAGACTTTACTTTCCTAAAGAAGGTGTTTGAGTTAATCCCTCAGTAATATATTGTGTAAAGGATGGATTTTAAAATTACCTCTTCTATTAAAAGAAAAAGGTACCATATGTGGCTCCCTTCCCTTCCCTCTCCAAGTCCCTGTGGATAATAGAAAATGTATTAGAAAGCAGGTGCAAGAAAGAATACCATCTTTGGATCAGAAGTCCTGCGGTATCTCTGGAAGATAGGAAATAGACGGAAGGAATCCAGGTCAAAGACATATAGAATAGGAATGGTTCTGGGTGCTTCAGGCAACAGATAACAGGGCAGCCATCATGGTGGTTGGGCAACTTCATCTGGAACAGTTGGGCAGCTTTGACCTCTTCCTCTGGTTCCCTTATGCTGAGTCATGGGCAGCAGCAGGCTTGAGCTGGAGGTACCTTATGTGGACAATGTCCAGAAGGAACTACAACCTTCAGCCTGAAATCAAGTTACTAACTCACACTCTTCCCAGGTGGCCTGTCTTGCCCTTCCCTACAACCTCTGGAGGCCACTGTATTAAACAAATAACATAAAATACAAAGATGAGCATCCAACCATGAATCACCAAACACTTTAGGAAACATCAGTTCATTGAATAAGACACTCTGATTCAGCAAACCAAAGGGCTGTCACCAAGAAAACAGCATTAATGGAGTAACAGGGATGGACTTTAAAAGAAACAAAGTGGATATCCTCAGAGGAGTAAGAAGAGTTTATTCCATAAAATAAGAACAGGCATCTGTTTCAAGAGCCAAATAGACATTACATTAGAAATGAAATATTTAATTGATATTTTAAAACAACTCATCAGCGGGATGGAAAGCAGGACGCACACAGCTGGAGAAGAAATTAATGAGCTGGATGTTTGAATAAAGGAATATTTCAGAATGTAATACAAAAAGCCTTAGGTTTAAGAGAATGAAACAAAGGTTAAAAAGACATGGAGGATAGACCTAGGCGTTTCAAAATCCATTTGCTAGGGTCTCTCAAAGGAGAGAAGAGAGAGAGAGTGGTTGAGGTGAGGAAGAGGCCGGGAAGGGAAGAAAAGAATCAAAGAAATGGTCAGAAATGAGTTATTGGATTACAAGGGTCCCCACAGTGCTGATCTTGATGAATAAATAAAGATGCTCCTTAGACGTATTAGAGTGAACATTCAGGGTAAAGAGAAGATCCTGAAAGGCTTTACAGAGAAGGAAGATGGGATACTGTTTTCATTAGAGGCATGAGGACTCTTAGCTGTCTTGAGGGGATGGGGAGGGAATCCATCTTTGAGGAGAGGCTTGGGTAGAAATACAGTTAATATTGCAATATAGTTTTACACTGTGAACATAAAACTGCATTCCTGTTGTTAGCAAACTCTTCTTGGTTGTTCAGGTTACATATTATCCTTGGAGAATGGTTTGGATTCTCTAAGATACATGTGAGAGATTGTTAGTCAAAGCAGAGTCTTTGAAATGCTGCACAATCCTGGTTTGGAAGTTAGCCTTGAAAGGGCGTCATAGCCATCTGTATTTGCAGCCCCCTTTTTCTGCCTGGGGCCAAGACCTTGTTTACCACCCTGGAGGACACAGCTAGGACTAGAAGTGGCTGAGATTTCCTTTCCAAATCCAGGGCTTTCCAATGGAATGGTTGACAGCTCTTCGTGCCCGGATGGCTCTGTTTAGGCTGCTGATGGGGTAACAGGCTTGCCCACTTCCTACCCTGAGCAAAAAGAAATGCTATTTATCCTGGATAATCTTTTAAAGTAAGTAGGAAAGAACAGATGCTGAGTTTTAGTTCACATTAAGATTGAATTTGCGAGGGCCTGCTTATTGGTAACTTGATAACCTTGATTAACTGTCCAGGTCACGGGAGTTCTCACAGTACGTGTGGGTTTATAATGGAGCAGTTAGCCCTGGAACATGGGCTCAGATTTCTCAGCAAAGGGCTCCTCGTGGAGAGGAATAATGACCAGTCTTACTATTTATGGCATGTCTCTCTTTATTTAGTTAAGAATAGCACATTTTATTGAATGAAAGAACTCCACGTTTCTATTATTTTTCACATTAACTCCCTAAACTTTTCTTGTGTGATTTTAGAGGCCAGAGCCCACCAGTTGCTGAATTTAACTTACTTCTGAAAGCTCACACTTTGGAAACCTATGGGGTGGATCCCCACCCATGCAAGGTAATGCCCCTCACTGCAGGTCGACATATAATGATTGTTTTGCCCAGAAAAGTGTTAATTGGTATGCAGGTCTGGAGGATCCCTTCTAGGATATTTCCACAGCCTGACCCATCACCCCTAATCATAAGGGACAACAGTGGGCTGCAGTCACATGTTTGGGTAGTAGATTTTCTCTATTGGCCTCTTCTAATTGCTTGCTAATTCATTCATCCATCAAGTGGATGGTTTTACTCCTGAGAAGTTAGAGGATCCTAACAGGTTTATTTTCAAAGGCCATTGCCAGCAAGAATGCAGTCTTTAAAAATGGGTAAGTGGAAGGAATAAAGAAAGATTTAAAATTCACATTAAGAGTACGTATTTGTTTTTCTTTTTGCCTTTTTCTCGAATTAATACTTGACAGCATTTCTCTGAAGTGGGAAACCCAGACCACCTGTGTCAGAATCACCAGAGCCCCACCCCAGGGCCACTGAATCAGAATCACTGGGGGTGCAGCTGGGGAATCTGCCTTTTAAACAAGCTCCCAAAGTGAGGCTCAAGCACATGTTTTCCAGAAATGTTTTATGAAAACAGTGTTCTTTCCATATCCTAAACTATGCATCATTCAGACTCTAACCTGAATTCTAAACTAAGCATTTATATCAGCCAGGCTCTTAAAGGTATGTTTTTGAGTCATACTAGAATATTTTTTTACCCAGATGGGACCAGCTAATAGTATTTGGTGAAGTCCTCGTGCTAGAGATGTAGCTCAGGCTGCTTATTAGAAGGACCTGGGAAGCTTCATAAACGCCTGTTGCCCAGTGCCATCAGGATCTGTGAGGGTGCAGCCCGGGCAGAGAACCAGTGGGGCCTATTTACAGTGGCATGTGCATCTTCTCTGGCTCTGCCCGCACAGTTATTTTAGAATATTTGCCAGATGTCTCTTCCTGCTAATGGTATAAATCAGATTATTCCATTTAGTGAATTAGATTTTATCTAAAAATTTGAGCCTCTCTGTCTGTTTTATTTATTACTTGGAGACTGACTTGGTTTTTGTTGTTGTTGTTGTTCCTTTGCCTTCCCTTATCAATGCTTAGTTTTCCTGGTGGAGGCTGGAATCAAAGTAGGCATTTCCAGACATGTCTTTATATTTACATTGCCAGAAATCCTGTGTGCGATTGAGTCCAGTTAGATTAGAAGCTCAGGGATTTGGTTTCAGGGCTAATGAAAACCAAGAACAGTTTTCCCACATTGTAGGGCAGATCTGAGAACTCAGGCAGCACCAGAACGCACTTGGAAGTAGGCTAGTGGTTTGGGGCTAATCTGTATTTTCCCAGGAGGTTCCTGGTGAGGCAGAAGGTCCATTCCTCAGACGGGAAAGCTACACATTCCTGGCCCTCGCCCAAATGTTAGGCGTACCACGGTTGGAAGTCCCATCTCAGAAGCTTAGTTTATTTCTACAGTCATTGTAATTAACCTGAAATTAACCCAGGGTGAGGATGAATAAGCATATCATTTATCCCTTATTTTATATTACTTAATCCAAATATGTTTTTATTTCTTTTTATTTTTTTCAGGATTCAACAGGCACAACAACATTTTTGGGATTCACTGCTGCAGGCTTTGTGGTATTTCAGGGAAATAAGAGAATCCATTTGATAAAATGGTGAGTAGTGAGTACTTCTTCGGAAAAAATTGTTTAATCTTGTTTTTTTAATTAATCTCGTTTTTCTTTCCCAGCCTTTGACTTTTTGCTTGGAAATGTCAGGTAGAATGCCTAGGATCCATTCCTCTGCCCTGGAACTTCTTATAAAGAGATTATTCATCTAAAAATGGAACCCAGTCTCAGTTGTCTTAGACCTTGGGGGACCTGGGGTGTGTCCTGGGCTCGGGGGGCTCTGCCTTTAAAGAAAAGGTGTCCAGGATTGCTGGTGAGGAAACACTGGCCAGAGGGTTGACCATGGGCTGGGTCAGGGCAGGATGAATGTGCAAGTTCCCTTGAATAACTCAGGACCCCCTCTCTTCCACTCACTTCTTTCCATTCTCTTCTGTTGAATCCTCGCTTTAGATTCCCCCTTTGTAATCCAGTGTATCAGTGACGATGCTTTTCACTCAAAGGAACAGGAATGTCTGCTCACAGTGGCTTACAAATGAGAGGACTGATTATCTCAAACAGCAAAAGTTCCAGGGGTCGGGCAGCCCCATGGTCCTTTAACTTAACTGCCTGACAACACCGTGAAGGATTTGGACCCCTCCATTCTCTTCTCTGCCATCCCAGGGTGGTGGGTTTTATCCCCAGGCTTGTGCTCATAAAATGGCCATGCGTGCAACTCTGGCCCTTACGTCTTCACACAGCAACACTCCCTGAAGGAAGCAGCCCCTTCCATGTGTCTCATATTAAAACAAGGGTAACTTTTTCAGAAGCTCTGTAGGAGACTTCCTGTGTATCTCATTGGGCAGGATAGGGTCATATGCGCCCCCTTAAACTAATCCTTCCAAGAAGAAGAATTCCATGATGAGGTTGGTCAAATCAAGGTCCATCCTTTCGGGGCTGGGAAGAGCATCATCTGCATGAACAGTTGATCTAGAGGAAGAATAAAGTCTGGGTTGTGTCCGGAAGGACATGGGAGGAGGGACCGCCAGTGCCCACTATGTCCAATCAAGGAACAAAGTAGCTTTAGTAAAGAGTGAAGAAGGCTGAACATTTTATATGCATTGGAATATTGTAAGGGCTTAGTCTGGTTCACAGCTTCAGCTTGATTTGGTTCCCTCCCTGATGGCCCCTGAGAGATTTGTCACCCAGTGTCTCACTGAGTGGTGGGCTCACTCTTGTCCTGAGCCCTTGGGTCTGAAGTTCTTGATGGGCCAGTGGGCATCCATCCTCAGTCCTGGGTTTGAAATGCTCTTTCGCACTTACCTGAACCTCTGTTTCGTGATTCCTTCAGGATTTCTTTCAGCACTCTCTATCAAGTGCCCCCACCACCGCTTCTTGGCACTCTCCTCTTAGCACCTGCCTTCCTTTCAACGCTTCTCTACTAGATTATCATCAGTCAGCTCATGTCCACTTTGCTCCCTACACCTTCTGCTCCTTTTTTTTTTTTTTTTTTTGGGTTATGCGGGCCTCTCACTGTTGTGGCCTCTCCCATTTGCGGAGCACAGGCTCCGGACGCGCAGGCTCAGTGGCCATGGCTCACGGGCCCAGCCGCTCCGCGGCATGTGGGATCTTCCCGCACTGGGGCACGAACCCGTGTCCCCTGCATCGGCAGGCGGACTCTCAAGCACTGCGCCACCAGGGAAGCCCCTTCTGCTCCTTTTTATTATCAGCCCTCTCTTTCTAAGAATGCTAATTTATCTAAGTATCTTCTCTTCCCACTCTATCACTGCCTTTATTCATGTCATACTTTCAGTTCCCATCTGTGCCCACTTACTCTCTTCCTCCACAGTTATCATTCTCAAACTCTCATGTGCCTCTAATAAATCACTTAACTCTCTGTGTCTCAATGTACTCATCCATAAAATGGGCATCAGTTATATCCAACTGCTTTATAGGAAAGAAAGGAGATGGGGCAGAAGCAGGTAAAGTAGTGTGTGTGAGAGCGATTTGATTTGTGAACAAGGATGTTTTATGAATGTATAACATGGTGGAGTTACCAGTTTTCTTCCCTGTATTTTCAGTACCTGTAAAGAAGCTCCAGTGTTAACCACACTTCAGTCCATTCCAGAATAAGTTCCCTAGTGATTTCTACTGACTTTGGGGAGCATGGGCAATTCGGGCAGGGACTTCCCCATCCTCTCCTAGGACTACAAAAGGCTTGAGGATGCTGAAGGGTGTTTGATTCTCAGGTACTAGTCAACTTTGGAGTAGCTGGGTTAGAACCTGACATGTCTCACGTGCAGATTAATTGCGAATCTCTCCCATTTGGGGCTTTAGTTTCTTCTTGGCTACACTGAAGAGTTGAGATGGACAGTCACCAGACCTTTTGTTTCTGGATTCTACATCTTGGTGTTCCTGGTGGGGTGCTGATTGTCATCCCCATCCCTTCCAGCCACGGCTTAGGCACATATTTGTAACAGCCATGTACATGTTACTAAAATAAATTTTCTTCCCACGTTAAACCTAGTTTTGTTCTGCTTTGTTTTTGACATCCATTGAGCTTTGTCACTCTTGCAAATCCTCTCCACAGCTTAATATGACCTCACAATTCCTTTTCCCCCAGGAAAAGCACAGGGGCACACCTCACTGTCCTAGGAATTAGATCAAAGGAATAAAAATAGAATTCCCTCCTCTCTTTACACGTGTCTCCTCACCAAGGAGTTGACCTTAGGTCTACATTTCAGTCAGATTTTAACTGAGCAGCTCCTTAAGATGAAGCCTCAAGTCTTTTGACTACAGTTCATCCAGTTGTCCTTAACAGTTTTGAGCATCTCGGTATCTAATACAATTATTCCTTTATCAACAGGGAGAGCAGAAATGAAAATTTTGCATTGTGGTGTGTGTTTCTTGGAGATGGGTGTGAAAGGTTACAGATACTGTGAATCCATATTGTTTCATTAACCGAATATGAAATAACTACATTCTTCCTATCTCTCAAAATGGGCTGACCAATTAACATTGTTCTGGTCATTAATGTTCATGAAACCCCTAGAGCTCCTTGGAGGAAAGGTGCAGCTTAACGGTAAAAACAATGGAATAAATAATTCTGAGCTGCCTTCGGAGCCTCTCTTGGGAAGAAAATTGCTGTATCATTCACTTGGGGGCTCTTCGCTGCTCATTAGACCTACAGCCATGATCAGATAATATCTCGTTTCATTGCAGTCTGCTCGGCATTTGTGAGTCAGGCGGATTCCAATGGGATAGCCAGGTACCTTGGTTAGCTGCTACTTTTTTCCTTCTCACCCAAAGAGATTTTCTTTTCTTAGGTCGGATGTCTGCAAATTGAAGTTTGAAGGGAAGACATTTTATGTGATTGGCACCCAGAAGGAGGTCAGAAACTGTTTTTCTAGCTGTCTGTTGTTGTGTGTGCATGTGTGTGTGTGCAGGTGTGTATGTGCAGGAGAAAGAGTCAAGTGTAAAATGTACCTTTAGTCATGTAGCCCCCAGAAGACCACGATGTTAAAGTCTCTGATGATACTGGAAGTTTGGAGTTAAATAAACACCGGCTTTGCACATTTAAGAATAAATTCAGTGAGCAATGCTGTCCATATACCCCTGTGTAAAAATTAGACTGTGACAAACTTGAGAAATAGAAAATTGAACTTCCCCCTACCTCTGTAATTTGCAAGAATGATGAAACAAGTGAATAATACTTAAAGATAGCTATCAGCCAGTGCTGGTTAGAGTTTTATAAACAGAGTCTGTAAGTACAGGGAATCTTAAAATGTTGGTTGGCCTCATCATTTGGGAGGAGGCCGTTACCGAAACTTTGAGCCTCAGAGCTAGGTCTGGAAGTTTCTGGATTTTCTTGACCCTAGTTTTTGGTTTAAGCACCAGATATTCAAGAACGGCAAATAAGTTTTTAAACTCATCCAACTCTGATTGAGAGTTAGGCAATGCTTGGAGTGTTGAGAAGGATTGTGAAGCTGTTCTTTATCAGAAACAGGGCCTGCATGGGTTAGTAATATCTGCAAAGGGTGAGGGAGCAGGGAATACCATTTCAGGAGCACTTCTAAGAACACAGTAATGCGTCTGTTACTTCAGATCTGTTTGGTAAATGGCAGGATGCAAATAGGTAAATTCTTGAAGGAAAAACATGAAAAACGTACACTGTGTTTAACATGCCCTTTCTTGTTTTGTTATTTTTTTATTAGAAAAAAGCCATGTTGGCATTCCATACTTCAACACCAGCTGCCTGCAAACATCTTTGGAAGTGTGGGGTGGAGAACCAGGCCTTTTATAAGTAAGTAGCTTTTATTCATTTAATCATAGGTTTTAAAAGCACCCCTGGAACCCTTTATGTTTTGCAAGCAGCTGCATATTCATTTCTTTTAATATAGTCCTTTTCAGTATATTTAAGTGAATTATAAATTTGGTGCATTGTTCAGGGTGATTCCCAACCACTGTTGGCCTGATCAAGTCCTGAACTTTATTTTACGTTGGGTGTTTCCCATAGAATTGCTGTGGGCTCTTTTTTTTTTTTTTTTTTTTTTTTTTTTTTTTTTTTTTTTTTTTTTTTTTCTTTTGATATTGCTATTTCCATCCAGCCTGTCATGGGATCTTTTTTCGGTTCGTGTCTCCTCAGAAGCAGACCTTGAGAAGAGTTTTGTGCAAGTAGTTTCTTTGGGATGTGGTTACTGAACATACCAATAGGGGAGTGGAGGAGGGAGAAATAAGCAATTTAGGACGCGTTATTGAGCAGTCACTACTGAGAGCAGCTGGGCTCAGCTCTGCTGGGGAACTCTGTCAGACTGTAGAACAGGCCTCAAAGTTCTCCCACTGACCAGCAAGGAGGTTGGGCTGTTTATCTACTAATTCCCCATTCATTTTGGCTTAGAGACACTTACGTGGGCAGAGTTAATACTCTCTGAGCATGGGTTGAATGTGCTCTCAACACTAGAAAAGAAACCTTGGGCAGGGAGTCACACATGTTCATAGTAAGAAGGCTTCAGTATATAGAGATGAGAGCCAAAGGTTTGTGGGTGGAATGCCATTAGAGTCTAGGATTGTAGAAAGTCAGTGCTGGACAGGACTTCAGAAACCATCCATAAAGCTCTCAGCTTTCAAAAGAGGTTAAAATTTAGGATTTTTCCATGAGTTCTAGCTTCTCCTCCTTGAGACACTTGCTGACTGGAAGAACAGTGGTGATGGATGAAGTCAGGAGCCTAGCCAGCCCCGCTTGGGGTATCAGCACTGCTCACCCCTGGAGCTCATCCAGGCAGCTTTTGCTCTATTTCCCGACTCCCTCCCCACTGAAATACTGTCTTTTTTATTAGACTTACCTGAAAATGCTGAAACTCTGAATGTCCTGGGCTTTGGCTGACAAGGACCGTCAAGAGAATGAAGGCTGGAACAGTGTTTTTCAAACCCCTTTTCAGCCACAGGAA